GACTTTCTTCACTCGCTGTTCTTCGTTCACCAAAAAATTCATTGGTTACGACCTTGGTTTTTCTAGGTATCAGTTCTATCGAGAACAAAAGTGTAGGTGGTCTTTCTATTCATAACCCTTTTTCGACAAAAAATGATCCGTTTTTGAGTAAAAAATAACTTTGCAAAAAGTGATTAAATTTTCCAAATCGTCTAAAAAATATGAATTCAAAAAACCAATGCAATACAATTTCATACTACCTGTTTTTATCAACCAGGAATTCTAGGCAAACAAGCTAAGCAAGACAACTAAAATTCGAATATTTTTATCAAACAGAAATTCTAGGCCAACATGCTAAGCAAGACATTTAAAGTTCGAATTAGCAGCTAAACAAAACTTACGAAGCGGAAATTCGGCCGACAATCTTTAAGCAGACACCAGTTGAGCCGAAAACAAAATTATTTTGTAAAAAAAAAAACTTTCAAAACATTCAAGTCCCCCTGACACTACCCAGTAAAAAACAACAGCATTCACCCAGTGGTCAAGTTTGGATTTTTACACGGAGGCGAACTTGCACTTCGCATATACAAGCAAAAAAAATATGACCGATAACGCTACTGGGAAAAACAAAATGAGTAATAAAATGAGTCTACAAAACTGCTTAAGTGACGCACGGCAATTACGAATCTACTTAATTGCTTAGTGACGCAAGACAATTATGACACATTAGCAGTACCAGTCAATTTGAAAAAAAAAACAAGAAATTTACCATCTAACATGCCTAAATTTATAGAGCTGACGCATTTAACTAGATACGAAAAAGTTCGTTTAAAACATCCGGGCCTGCCCAGGTTCGAACCCTCTTTTGTTGCCTGTCTCCTTCCCTGCCTCTACGCTAGAGATCTATGATACCTTGAAGCTAAAGTGCTATTTGAAACATAAACGTATGTTAATATCTTTAGCATTGGCTGTACTTAATAGCTGGATATTGATTAAAATGAACACTTTCAAAACGAACACATTTTGTAGCAACAATATTTGCGAGTTAGGTTATAAAAAAAAGAGTTCATACTATAACACAAGCTATGCTCGTGTAATGAAAATGAGCATGCCAGCTGCATAGCAGCATCACAAGTGATTCAACTGATTTTGTTAAACTAGCTGTTATCCCCAAAAAAGTCTACCTTTCGTTTTGAGAACGCTGGCTAATCTCGAACGTAAATAAATTATTTAAGCCAACAAATTACAGAAATCTCGAAAAAAATTAACTTCTACCTAAGCTGAAATCAGTAGTTTCATTTAAATTTTCAATAAATAGAGCGTGTCAGCGTGCCCATGCTTCTTACAAATTTTTCAGAAAAAATGTTTACGGAGAAAAAAACTAATTTCATGAAAAGGCTCGTTTTATTCTGAAAAAAAGTGCATTAAAGAGCTCACACTGGATTAAACGGAGGTATAAACGAAAACTCCTCATTATATCAAAAACCAGGGGCGGATCTAGGTTTTTCTCGAGGTGGCGGAATTTCCAAGATTATAAGGTGTTAATATCCTTAGAATTGGCTGTACTTAATAGCTGGTTATTGAGCAAAATGAACACTTTCAAATTCAACGCATTTTGTCGCAACAATTGCATCGCAACAATATTTGCGGTTTAGGTTATAAAAAAAAGAGTTCATACTATAATACAAGCTATGCTTGTGTAACGAAATTGAGCATGCCAGCTGCATAGCAGCATCATAAGAGATTCAACTGATTTCGTTAAACTAGTTGTTATCCCCAAAAAAGGTCTACCTTCCGTTTTGATAACGCTTGCTAATTTCAAGCGTAATTGGCTCCTTTCCAGTTCCCTCCTTTCAAAATACCGAGTATTATGTTTGTTTTACGTGCTATTACGGCTAAATGCGGGATGTTACGCTGTAAAGTATGAAGAACAAGTCTGTTCAGAATTGTCGATTTCTTCACCACGCCAAATTTCATTGCATTATGACAACGTTACATAGACTTTTCAAAATTGAAATTCAAAAGAGGGGAACTGGAAAAGAGCCGCGTAATTAAATTATTTTAATTAACAAATTACAGAAATCTCGATTGCTGCAAAAAAAATTAAACCAGAAAAAAGCAGTACTTTGGAAAGTAAGCCAAAGAGAAATCGTACCAGATAATAAAAAGAGCCAATGAAAAAAAAACGAAAAAAAAAAGATTAAAACCACGAATCCAAAAACAACATCAACCTTTCTTCAATAATTTAATTTCAAAATAATTAACTTCTACCTAAATCAGTAGTTTAATTTGAATTTTCGGCTCTTTTTCCTCCCCCCCCCCCCCCCCCACCACCTACCACGAGCATCAATTCAATTTTATGGACTAACGAGTGGTTTTACAAGGTTAAATATGAGGACCAAATGTGTTTGCCACATCCTAATTAGTCCTCATGTCAATTTTCATAATGATCGAACCATTTGAACAGTAACTTTACAAGTAAAAAATTGCAGGTGGGGGGAAAGGAAAAAGAGCCAAATTTACAATGAATAGAGCGTGTCAGCGTGCACGTGTGCCCATATTTCTTACAAATTTTTAAGAAAAAACTATTTACGAAGAAAAAAACTTATTTCATTGAAGTGCTCGTTTTAATCTGAAAAAAGCCCATTGAAGAGCACACTGGATTAAACGGAGGTATAAACGAAAACACCTCATTATATCAAAAACCAGGGGCGGATCTAGGTTTTTCTCGAGGTGGCGGAATTTCCAAGATTATAAGGTGTTAATATCCTTAGAATTGGCTGTACTTAATAGCTGGTTATTGAGCAAAATGAACACTTTCAAATTCAACGCATTTTGTCGCAACAATTGCATCGCAACAATATTTGCGGTTTAGGTTATAAAAAAAAGAGTTCATACTATAATACAAGCTATGCTTGTGTAACGAAATTGAGCATGCCAGCTGCATAGCAGCATCATAAGAGATTCAACTGATTTCGTTAAACTAGTTGTTATCCCCAAAAAAGGTCTACCTTCCGTTTTGATAACGCTTGCTAATTTCAAGCGTAATTGGCCCCTTTCCAGTTCCCTCCTTTCAAAATACCGAGTATTATGTTTGTTTTACGTGCTATTACGGCTAAATGCGGGATGTTACGCTGTAAAGTATGAAGAACAAGTCTGTTCAGAATTGTCGATTTCTTCACCACGCCAAATTTCATTGCATTATGACAACGTTACATAGACTTTTCAAAATTGAAATTCAAAAGAGGGGAACTGGAAAAGAGCCGCGTAATTAAATTATTTTAATTAACAAATTACAGAAATCTCGATTGCTGCAAAAAAAATTAAACCAGAAAAAAGCAGTACTTTGGAAAGTAAGCCAAAGAGAAATCGTACCAGATAATAAAAAGAGCCAATGAAAAAAAACAAAAAAAAAAAGATTAAAACCACGAATCCAAAAACAACATCAACCTTTCTTCAATAATTTAATTTCAAAATAATTAACTTCTACCTAAATCAGTAGTTTAATTTGAATTTTCGGCTCTTTTTCCTCCCCCCCCCCCGCCACCTACCACGAGCATCAATTCAATTTTATGGAGTAACGAGTGGTTTTACAAGGTTAAATATGAGGACCAAATGTGTTTGCCACATCCTAATTAGTCCTCATGTCAATTTTCATAATGATCGAACCATTTGAACAGTAACTTTACAAGTAAAAAATTGCAGGTGGGGGGAAAGGAAAAAGAGCCAAATTTACAATGAATAGAGCGTGTCAGCGTGCACGTGTGCCCATATTTCTTACAAATTTTTAAGAAAAAACTATTTACGAAGAAAAAAACTTATTTCATTGAAGTGCTCGTTTTAATCTGAAAAAAGCCCATTGAAGAGCACACGTGGATTAAACGGAGGTATAAACGAAAACTCCTCATTATATCAAAAACCAGGGGCGGATCTAGGTTTTTCTCGGGGGGTGGGGGGATTTGCAGAGAGTTTTCCAGATTTTCAGGTCGACTAAATTGATTTATCGAGCTCTCCCAAAATACTAAATATTTCACTAAAAAATTGGGTTTTCTCGGCGCGCGCTCCCCCCTCAAATTAAAATATATTGGCGCGAAATGCGTATTAAGAAAAATGTAGGGTTGGTCGGCCGAAAACTGATGTCATAAAAAATACCCAAGGGTGACCTCTTTGGTTGGTGAGATGGTCGAATCACTGAGAGGGAGGGGCGCCCCCCCCCCCCTAAATCCGCCCCTGACGACAACTCAAATTTATAAAACGACACGTAATTAAGTGTCTTCACTGTCTAATAACATTCAAACACCTTTCATTTAGCTGGCTGCCTTTTCGTCATTTAAAAACGAGGTTGTAAAATAAATTTCTTAACCAAAATTATACAATAATTTGGGAGAATGTATTTACTGCCTACTAACTTACAAGTTAACAGTGGATATGTCAATATAATTTACTACATCAAATCCACCAGATGCAGACCAAGTTAAATTGCCCGGAATCATAAAACTTTAAAAAATTTCTGATTCTCCATTTGATTCACAATGTTTGAAATTGACTATAACTGTCAAAAAATGGTCAAAAATGATCTAAAATATCGGAATAGGTGTTTTAAGTTTTATAATCTTTAAATTTGGGAATTTGGGGGCTTGCTTCAAATCGACTAATTTTGCCCGCTCAACTACACAAAAAAATCATGATCTACAACTAAACAATGACATGAAGCTGCTACACAAAATCAAGAATGTCTACTTGCTGAGTCAAAATAACAATAACATTCGCACTCATGAAAATAGAGGTAATTTTCTAATAAAATATTGCTAAGCTTTCAGTAACTGTGCATTCTCGAATCTATTTTCAAATTTTCAAACTCAGTAATTAATAAATTGCGGTCCTCTTCTTCCCCTATCACCCCACACATGTACCTGTAATTTTCTATAATTTCAACTTTTTTTCACTTTTTCCGATTGTCATGAAAATTGGCATGTGAGTTAATTACCTAAATTACCTAATTACAACACGATTGCGCATGGTTAAAATCTTCGTAAAATCAATGGCTACTCTGTAAAACTGATCTGTTTGTCATGTGGGATGGAAAAAGGTAGAAGAGCCATTTGCGTATTGATGAATAGAAAAATTAGTCATTTCTTTAATGAACGATCAGAGCAAGAAAATTGTTTGGATGACTTTAACTGCACACATGAATGTTGCAACATAAACAGATACAAATTTTTGAAGGCATTTTGCATTTCAAAGAGATAGGTTAATTAAACTTAATTGGAAATTTAATATTCGGCACATTGGTCAAAAATGAAAATTCTATATAATATGAATTGTGCATCAAAACTTGTTTCGTCTGTACTTTTTCACACACTAAAAAACGAATTAACTTAAATTACCATACACATTTTTTGCACTTAAGAACAGACAAAACAGAATATTTATGGCAAAAACTGAAAACTGAAAAAAATTGTGCATCTAAATAGCTGAAAACTTAACTAAACATATCTGTCCGAGTTATTTTGAGTTAACAGAAGTCAAGTTTCGAATATCCCACAAAGACTCTTTTGTTAGCATTTCATTCTTCATTTTCCCTCCGAACCTCTGAATACAGTCTCTTCGTTTAGCACAAGGAGTGATATGTTCGATAGACCAATCAAATAAACAGCTTCGAATCGACTTCGAAATACTACTTGCAAAATCTTCTGAACGAATTACACATTTGTCAACTAGGGGGTGAAAACTGACGTTTTTCACGTTGCTATCAATATAAATCGTGATCAAACTATTCGAATGTACGTAGAAGGAATAGAAAACATAACTTGTAGTTTCTAAAGGTTCTTTCTCAGTTTTTCCCGAATTTATAAGATTTGAAACAAAAGTCGGATCTAAATGTTGATACTGGTCAAAATTTTCTATTGCAAAAAGGTAAACAAAAAATTTAGGCAGGTTAGCAGAGCTCGCCTGACAACTTTGGGTTACAATATTTGAATTAACAGAAAGCTTTCCAGGCAAAAACCCGTTATTGTATTCGTGGATCGGATTTTCCGGGAAGCAGTTGTAAAAGATGTCGCAAAATGGATCTTCAGCCATCTTCATATTTTCACCAGAACTTGATGAAAAATTGTCTAATGATTCGATCAAATGTTTCAGTTTTCCTTTCAATTTAGCCTCCCTTTGAACCAAGTAAATTTGCTCAGAATTCAGAAAACCCGAAGTCACTGAATCTTCCGAAAGGTACAAGACATCGACAACTTGACTCATTTTTAGCGGCAGCGCTTGCAAAATAGAATGGGACAATTCGATTTCTGAAACATTGGAACCAGTTTCACACAATTGGCTTTTAGACTGCAAAGCTTCTAAATTGGTGTTTGACTTGAAATCTTGACTTTCAACTTTGATGGGCTGCAAAAACGGAAACTTCGCCACAAATTTCTTAGTATGCAGAAGTCCCTCAACGGGAGTCGGTTCGGTGCAAACAATTGCTGTTTTATAACTTTTGGAGCACACAATATCTTGTTCCGTATTTATTGAGTCACTTATTAAACTGGAAAAATCCTTGTCCGAACAAGATTCTCCGCGTAGCGAAGACAATTTTTCTTCTGGTTTTGTAAAGATTGCATCTGCTAGAGGCTCTGGAATAAACGGAACTTTACCCGGGATATAGTTCCAGGTAATATCGTTATGGCATCCTAGTTTCCGAGCCGGAATTATAGTAGCCGTAGAGCGTTTGTCTAGATCCGAAGTGTTCCGATCAAACACACGATACGTTTCGTTTCCGAAAGGCGTTGAAACTGAAACTGTTAAATTTTCTCTCGTATATTCTTCATCCGCTTCTGTTGAATCTGATGAACACTCTTCTTCAACGTGAACAACTCGTTCTTTGCCTGAAATGTAGAACAATTGCAGTTTGTTTTCACTTTCTTCACGTTTTTTGAGATCAAGTTGCTTCCGTTTCCTTCTTTTCCGGCTGTTGACAAGACAGTTGAGCAGTATTTCAGCGGCGTCGTTACATCGCTGAGACGGTACACGCTGTGCTTTCACTTCTTTGTAGACATAAGCATCGTTTGAAACTGATTTCGACCCTGATATTCCGTATTCTATTGACTCCAAAACTGGTTTGAACAACTTCTCACAGTTAAAAACTGACGGTCGACTATGCAACCAAATTGCGATTGTACGGTAAGACGACACAATTAGGGAATGTAACGCTGTTTTATGGTGTCTCGCTGGTTTTTGAAGCAATTTTTCGATTAACTCGCAGAGCTTGGAAACAACTAGTTGACGTACTGAGTCGCTGCTGAAGTTAGAGCAACGAGCTAGAGTTCTCAAGAAAGCTAATGCTGTCAGAATTGGGTGGCCCTGTGCCTCGTCGCTCCACTCCAAGAAAGCCTTTCGGATCAGTAAGGAAATTACCTTGTAATTCTGTGCCTCGCGATAACTTGCACCTTCAATGCTAAGTTTCGATCCCAGAAATCCTCGGCCGCTTGATATTTGAATTAAAGAATGTAACAAGGATATTAACAGAGATATACTTTGCGGATCTTTTTCTTGCACTAGCCGTTTGGTGCAGAAATCGTGGACTTTTTCGAGATATGTCGGGAATGGTATTTGATCGTTGTTTACTTTACTGAATTTGACAAAGTATGGAAAAGATGATAGAAGAATATGGTAACATGCTTTCCAGAAAATCGTTACAGGTACATGACAGCGTATAGAACTCGGTACTTTATTTGACCCTGGGTTTGCGATTGAACTTTGCAAATGTTCGTTTTCTTCAGAGCAGTACTGGAAAATTCTGTTCACGTATGTTGGCACTAATTGGCTGCTAAAGCGCACTCCATTACATAATAAATTGCACGAAGAAAGGATGACGTAGGCTGTAACGTCACAATTTGAGGTTTCAAACTGTAGATTTAGTGCTTTGAACAGACAACAGTTGAAAATGGAGTAGTATTGCAAATTTACTGATTCTGTATTTCTCTTCCAAGAAAACAACCTGAGCAAGCAAGTTAACGATTCGGCCTGAGAGTATACTAATTCGTTAGAAGTCCCAGGACCTGTTAGACAGACTTTGAACAAAAAGTCTCCGAAAGCATCAAGCATACTATCTGCTGAAGTTTGCACTATGCTAGATTTCACAAACAACGGGTAATCAAACATTTTCGATCCCTCAACAGGAACCTCTTTGGTTGCCTGTTTATCAATTTCGTTTTTGATCGCGTTGTTACTTCTATTTGATCGTCTACTAAGGCCAGCTGTAAAAGCCTGTTGCGTGGTCCCAGTTGCATTTTGGTGATTTGTCACAGATCCGTTCACGGTCGAATTACTTGTATCAGCTGTTATTGTAGCGACTAACAATTGACCTCTTATAGCCGAAAGATACGGCATTCCCATGAACTGGTACACGGCACTAGTCACTGTACTGGCTATTTTCAATGCCAGTAAAGAATAGAATCTTACTTGATCGTTTTCCAATTTCGGTACCTGGGATGCCAAATTTATTGGAAAATTATACTCGAGAAGCAGAGCCGGATTTATGGGAAAATGGAAGAACCGGTACCATGTATGCACCAGTTGTTGACAGTCCAGGGAGTCCAGAGAAAGTGGGTGCAGGCCTGATTTGTCACTCTCGATTTTTACAATCATTTCGACAACTTTTTGATTCAAGCCCAAAAACTGAGAGCTCCAGCTACGCAACGTATTGTAATGCAGAGAATTTTGCTTCAAAATTCGATCAAGGCTTTTCCAGAATGAAGGGTTAGGGTACTGTTTTGAACACGCTAGAAACCAAATGTCGAAAAAATTATCCAGAAACTTATCAAGTCCATCCTGTGTGTTGTGACACTGACTTGAATCTAATGCCTTGGTTAGAATTTCAACAAGTAGCAAGAAAATAGATTGCCAAGTTTCCTCTGAAAGAGGGGGCGTTTTGGTCAAAGTCGAAGATTGTCCGTCGCTCACGTAGTTTGAAGAAGTTGAAGATATATCATCTTGCAGCGAACTTTCCTGAAAGCACGCATTTCAGCTTCCACTCATTGATGTTTTGAAAAACGATTAATTAAGGATACTTAATGAAAGACAAGTAAATAACCTAGTAAAATACTTAAAGAAAGACTATTGACCTTACATAAGTGAATTATAATTCCTACAAAAAATGTATGTTTACCGTGTTCGAACCATGATCGGACAAGTAATCAGCGCTCGATAGACGCATTTTCCGCTTCCTGCGAATTTGAGGAATTCCATTGATATCAGGGGCTGCAGTCTGGCCAGGCTGGACTTCTTTACACAGTTCTTGCACTTGAATCAAAACATGCTGGCATAATACTTCTCGTCCCGGTCCAGTGACATCATTAGCGACATGGCTCAGATTTGAAAGAAAGATGCGGCCATAGTGTTGAGGACTATCCCTGACCGGAGAAGGGATTCCTTTAGGGGAGCCACTGGGGGATAGAACCGAAAGCCATTTCACATAGCAATAGACACACGTACGGAAGGTGTCATAATCTGGTGGTTTTTTGAGAGAGTAGTTGATTATCTCCAACAGCCAATCTAATTGGTGCTGGTTGAAAAATTTATCTGCTTTGTCTTGATTTCCATCCGCCTGAGTTAAGTCTCCGAGGAACCCAACTATTCGTTTTGAAATCTCGGAAGCACAGTCGTTTGGAAAACAGTCTAGCGACGTTCCAACGTGCTGCTGCAGCGAACTAAACACGGCATCGTTGACGTTGTCGTACATACATGAATTTCTGAAAACCAGACGATTCCAGGTTATCAGGCTCAACGTTGAAACTGAAAACTTATCAGGCATGTGCCATGTAACATTCGCCCAAATACTACACAGCGACGGAGCGTAGAAAAAGTACCTATTAACAACTGGCGGGCGTCAGTCACCTTAATTCTACTCGTTTTTCAACGTCTCGACCTTGCCAGTTGATTTTCTGGTCTGTTTAAGGCTAAGTAAAAAGTTACTGTTTTTAGGCCATCAGTCAAACGACTTTTGATCAGCTTTCGTTTACATGCGAACACAACCACATAGCTGAGTCTCGGATCCTCAGACTACGTGATTGCTATTAAAAACACGGCTCGAACACCCTATTTTGTTATGTTTTTGTTTGACAGTTCTATATTAAATCCATTGGAGATGGATTAACCCTTTCCTCTTCCTAGCTACTCATATTCTAAAATATCAAATAATACCGGTGTCAATTCAAACGTTTATGGCATCAGAGTAGCTAAAAAGTTAGTTTACTACAGTCTTTCACCATATATCAGTCTCTGGGGGACGCAGCCTCCGCTTCCGTGTTCTCCTTGTAATAACGTCGTTATTAATCTCAATTCGTCGCACGGGAGGGTACTGCTCTCCACCACTTCCCCACCGAAGCCTCCTTTCCCACTATCTTCTTCCGCTAAGGGTCTTATCGAGCGTGATCGTCACGATAAGAGTCTTCGTTTTGTGACATTTGTAACATTCGCCCAGAAGATACATATCAACGGAAAACAAAACTAAGTCTTAAGACGACTGGCTAACGTCTAAACAGAGCTTTGCATGCTTTTCACCGTCTCTACCAAGCCAGTACTTTTCGGTGGTCTTTTCCAACATCGGGTCGACAAAAACGTTACTGCTTTCGGCTTCGGTCAAAACATCCAAATTAACTAGATTACATGCAGAAATAGTGAGCTCATGGCTGGGTCTCAGTATCCCCAGACCACGAGGTCACTCCTAAAAACAGGGCTACTACTATTTTTTATATTACTATTGTTTTTGTTCAGTAGATAAAAATCATCATCTCCATCGTAGATGGATCAACCCTTTCCCCCAATTCCTAGCTTCTCATCCTTATCAAAATGAATCCAGATGTTAATTAAAATCAAATCAGGACATGACAAGAAGCTAAAAGTCTATATAACAGGCTAAAAGTTTCAGTCCCGAAACCCTTCCGGATTCTTGAATCCACTGAATCAAGCTCGCTGATCTTGACTTCTTCTTAATCCGGAAGGCTGTCCTCCACCCTTCACCGTTGTCTGCAACGGCCTTGCAACTATTGTAGCGACACAATAGTTGCAACTCGGAGTGTTCACTGCTATTCCTGCAATCTGCTATTGTTTTTTCTCACAATTTTCGTACTTATCGTCCGCGCAACTAATGTTGTCGTGTTGTCTTCTAGCTTTTCTGCCAAAATGGCCGTTTCTGACGTTTCTCAGAAATATGACGTCATAATTCGAATTTTTAAAATTTTAAAATACCAGAATATTCTAGCCCTCACCGTTTGGCCAATCGTTCCAATAACGTTCTTAATTCTTAATAATCACCAATCCGGAAGGCTCGCTGCTAAAAATTCGAATTCTGCAGAGATTGCATTTTTCACATTCTGGTCGAATGTCACATACTCCCCGGACAGTCCGGTCAATGTCCTCATTGAATCACGCAATGTTCGTAAAATAGATACAGTATCATCGAACAGAATTTACAAAATGCACGAAATTACTTTTATCCACGTCACATCGACTCACTGCAGAATATAAATGGCATCATACTACATCACTATAGCCTTCAAATTCTTTCATTAATCTGCACATTGAGGATATGACTTAAGATAAAAACATATTTTCTGACTTCCAGTGTGAATGTCCCGATTAAAACTTTTTCTCTTAGATTTAAAAGGTGTTGGCTTGCAGGACAGTCCTGCCAACCAACAAGCTAAAATTATCCTACTATGCTTCCTCCCTTCGGAAATCTTGCTTGTTATTGTCCCGAATATTAAAACTAAGAAACTCTGTGGCTAGAAAGAACAATGAAACAATCTCCTTCTTCGAGAGATTACTCAAGCCTTCCATGTCACCACAAAGTGATCAGTTCTCCTAGCTGGTTAAAAACAGTCATGCAGGCTGGAATATTTAAATATACTCCTTCAATTAAGCCTTCCTAAATAAATAGTAAGTGAGTGTCTCTAAAGCCACTTCAACTAAAATCAAAATGCAAATTTATAAATGCAACAATCTCAAAACTCAACTTAATGTTTCAGTTTTCAGTTACAACTTGGTTGCTTGGTTTCTCACTTGAGTTTTTCACACACATAAAACAATTCTGAGTTTTAACTTTTCTTCATCACTCCTTTGTTTTCTTCTTTTTTCGTCGTTTAGAAGTTCTAAAACTTCTAAATTCTTCTAATTTCATCTCTTTTTTTCATCTTGTTTTTCGGTCATCCGTCAATGTTCCATTTCTTCCTCCTGTGATACTGACTCTGCACTCTCAGTTTCTGTATCTTGTAACACGTCGATAGCTATCCTGACGCTGCTGGAAGCCGTCCTCCAACACTTCTGCTCTTCTACCCTCTGTTTGCAGCAAGGTAGAGGATCCACGTTAGATTCTCTGTTCCTGCAGAAGCTGTTGTGGAGACACAACGTCACGTTTCTCTCCAAATCTTCTTTCAGCATCTCTGCTTTCTCCTTTCCACTACGTTCACTCGTCCTGGAAATTCTTTTCACAGCGGTGGTCACTGCATTCCGATGAGTCACGAGAGCTCGCTTCAAAGCCCCTGCTCCAATGTCGAGCTGATACTCACTGTACACTCTGCCATGCTTCGACATATGCTTTTTCGCATACTCGTACAACCATGCAGTCATGTTAGCTCTGAACCATGGCATCAATTGTTTTCTTGCCCATATCTTCTTCACTTCCATCGGAATGTTTAGAACTTTGCACATTGTCTCAAAAAGATCTAAATCTTTTAGACAATCTAATTTCCGCAATTGTTCTCTCGTCGGTGCCTCCTGTCTGTTATTTTCTCTCACATGAGCTTCCAGCCATCGTATCGCCATCATAACTCCCACTATCACTATTGTTACGGGCTGTGATGAATCTGGTAAACCCATGGAGAGCAGCTCTCCAGAGTCCCAGATCAACATCAGATTACTACGCTTGGGATACCACCAGGTCTGCAGCAAGCAGTGGCAAGGAAACTCGTCATGCGTCAGCATGATGCTCCTCCAATAACGTTTTCCCGAAGCTTCCAGCAATGGTTCCACTTCCATCATCACTCGGTGGACTTCATCATTCTCATCTACTGCATTGTAATCTGTGACAGTTGATCCTCTCTGTTTCTGTCTCTCAAAGTCACTGAAGTTCCCACTCACATATCCCATGAACTTCTTTCCTAGTATCGACTCCAATTCTTCTTTGGTTCTCTCTGGAACTGCTGAGAACATCTTACATAGTAACTCGTAAGACTTCTCGGACATTCTCGCCAATCTCACACACTTCGGCACTGAGAAGGCTTGATCCACGATCGTTCTTGTACTCTTCACGTCCACAGCTACGAAATGTACAGGGTATCTGCTCCTGCACATTGGAGCCAACGTTGAACCCACCAAATATCGTGCTCCTGATGGTCTACAATAAGTCTCGCTGTGTCTGATTTTCATTTCTGTCTCGATTGCTTCCCTCCATTTCCCTATGTATTTCTGTTCAGTCTGCACAACTCCTGGGAATACTTCTACGCTGATGGCTGTGACCATCTCATGTTTCTGTTCCAGATTCAATAGTGACTCTAAAGAACCAAACATGCTGTAGAATCCTAGTGCAGTCACTAGATTCACATCGGTTCCTTCATGGCAATCTGCTATCAGTTCCGTTTCTGTTCTTGCTTTCATCACTACATTTCCAAACAATACCGTCAATTGCCTGTGTTGTTTCTCCAGGGTCCTCACACAGTCCAGACCTCCACAAACGTGACCCTCCAGTCCACAGACTTCCGCCAGACAGCTACCAGGTTTGACCCAGTCTTCTGGTCCCCATCCAGGCAACTCCACTTTATCTTCTCCGTTGCTCTTAGAGGCTGTTATCATCACATTATATATGATGTTGAGGTCACGCAGGTTACAGTCTGCATTCAGTTCCCTCTGTACGTCTTGTGTCGCCCGTAATATTGAGTCAGCGTTGGGACTAGGACACCATGATGGCCTCATCAGTTCCCACACTGTCATCAAGCTCGTTCTCAGTAATTCATCTGAGAATCCCAACCCAAACTCCACTCTTTTGTCGGATTTTGGTACTGAAGGTGCAGTCACCTCTTCTTCCAAGACCAGTCCCAATTTGGCCTGTGGATTGTTAACGCTCTTAATAGTTACAATTCTGGACGTCCAGAATCTTAGCAACACCGCCTGCTCATAATCGAAGAAGCAATCGCGTATGTCTTCACTCAGGAAAGGATTGTACGCGATCCCTATGATCCCGGATACGTAACCATACGATTTCTTCTTGATCGGTCCACAGTATTCACTGGATTTCGGCAATGCTCCCATAGATTCTTTAGTGAGTCTCAGCTCCTTGTTTGAGAATCTCCTGATTTCGTCTATCTTTTTCATGGGTTCCAACTCCTCAGGTTCTTTCATGTTCACCCTCATCGGTTTACTTTGCTGCATAACCAGCAGTGCTAGCAAGAATAAGGCTTTCGTTCGCTCATCGCCTTCCCTCAACATTTTAACACAAGTGTTTAATGCAGGTACTGAAATCTGCTCTATCAGGAATCGAATGAAACAGAGAGCGTCTCCCCGCTTCGCACACGCTACTGCTGCTCCCTCCTGGACTATCAGATCCCTCAGGTTCGTCATAAGGAAAACCTTTTCCTCTTTTGATCTCTTCCTTTCTTCTGAGTCATATTCTTCGCGAGTCAGTCCCATCATGCACCAGGCGAACCTGAGTTGTAACTCTGTTCTTACGTAAGGTACTGCCACGAGAGCATA